TATATATCTTTCTATCTATCTATCTATCTATCTATCTATCTATCTATCTATCTATCTATCTATCTATCTATCTTGCCTGCATGTATGTCTGTGCATCATGGAGGCCAGAAGGATATATCATATTCCTCTGGAACTAGAGTTAAAGACAATTGTGAGCTGCCATGTGGGTGCTGGGGATACATCCTGGGTTCTCTGGAAGAACAGTCAGTGATCTTAGTCACCGAGCCGTCTCTACAGCCCTCATGTCTCAATTTTTAAAAGCTGCACAACAAATCAATTATGCAAGCGTAGTTCCGCTCTCAGAGAATGCCCCAAACCATCCATCCAGCACCAGGGCACGCTCTGCAGATCCTAGTCTCAGTGACTACTGGTGCCGTCTCCTCGGGAGGGGTGTGCTGCCCAGGGGAGTCGGGTAACTGATCTCATGGGGCCGACTGATATGTTAAAGATACCATACCTGACTATTTCAAGCTTAAGAAGACTAAATATTGATAAGTGACATTTGAGAAGGGGTTTTGTGAAAGACCCTCTCCTGCCTATACTCAATCAAAACTCCTGAAAGAATGTTCCTGGACCAGAAGATGATGACCCTTATAGCCACGGATGCCGCAATGGGTCTGAATAAACAGTGTACCCACAACCCTCATCTCCCCCTGCTCCCTCCTCCCACTGGTCTCAGAGGGATTCATGAAGCCTCCAGGATTCCTCCTGTCAATCCGCTATGTCAGTGTGGTTCCTAGAATAGCCGAAGGCCCCAGATAAGAACACGGATGGATGGCAGAGGGATCTTTAGCACCTCCCACCCCTGGCCCCAGCCACCTGTGGTAGGGACTCGACCTGCGGTGTCATCAAAATTCAGGAGCACGACTGTGCTGAGGTTCCACAAAGCCACTGTGATAGAGAGGACTTGGCCCACGGTGGCTACGCCATGGATCCTGGCCTCTCTGTTCCAGCGGGAGCCGCTGGAGACAAGGATCCCATTTACCTTCTTCCTCTCCTTCCTCCTCACTGAACGTACCCGATGACGGCTCTCTCTGCACCTCCCAGCAGCTATGGTCCCTTGCTATCACCATTTGTCTGTTCAGTCTTCCAGGACTTGGCAAGTGCCAACAGCACGCTGTTCCCCCCAGCGGACACTAGGCTGTAGGACTGGGTGACATGCAGTCTGTGTTCTTGGCCTGTATAACGCCTTGGTGGACGTTTCGGGGACCACCGCATAGTACAGCATCTCAGTGTTCTTTGTTCTTAATTAATTTCCGAAAACCCTGCCTAGCGAATGGCAGTCTGGGCTGAGCAAGTTCACTCCGTTTCCATCTTCCTTCCTGCCTCTAATCCCCCTCCTTGGACTTGGCCTCCCCTCTACCAGGAAACCCTCTGTGACGTCCTCAGCTGCACGACAGGCTCCAGTGTGAGGGGAATGTCAGCGAGGCATCTTGTCTCTTCTGTTTCTGTGGGGCTCCCCTTCACTAGGGCCGGAGAGCCCCAAACTTAAGGACAACGCTTCTTGCGCGTTTCCCTTAGATCTGAACTGGCCAGGAGAAGCAGCATGAGAGAAGGCTGTCCCACGTGGCCTGCCTGGGCTCCAGATGGGGTCTCCTTGGCTGACACTTCCTCTGGAGCCATGAGGGGCACTTATTCCCAGGCAGGAAGTGTGGCCCTTGCACCCTAATCTTTCACGCGACCCGAGGACTCAGCTTGTGGGAACCTGTTCCACCCACATTTTGCGTCCTAGTCTACCTTGCCAGCTGCTGGACTTGGCTATCTTTTCCTGTTCCTATGGCATTCAGTCTGCTGGTAAAAAAACAACAAATGGTTCTAGGTAGCCAAAATGCTTCCTCTTCTCTGTCGGCACCTTCCGAAGCTGTGGTGCTTGTTATTTCCAGACCTCATCTGACCGAGAAGAATGAGGCAAACCCAGGCTGGGGCTCAGTTTTGTCGTAGCCAAGGAAGGCTAGTGCTCCTGGCCAACCTCTGAGAGGACAGAGGCTCATCCGAGGAGCGGGGCATACTATGTCTTTTAGAGGACTGTGAGCTGGAAAGGGTAGGAAAGTTCGTTGGCTTGCACAGGGAAACCATCCCTTTCCACCCGGCACTGACCACAGCCTTTTATGTCAGGGCATTGCCTAAGTTCTGGGGACTTAGGAGTAGACCCGGGACACCCTACCTCCATGCAGCTTTGGGGCTTGGAGATGGTGGCTGGGGAGGGGTGTCATTCCTTCCTTTTTCATTCATTCTACATTGATTGGAGATCTCTTTTTATGTGATTTTTTTTGGGAGGGGGAATAAAACGAGTATCTGCTCCCAAACTAGGAGGACAATGGCCCAAGGAATGACTCATCCAAGCCCATTCTGGTGAGTAAAATGGGTTTATTAGGGGTTCCTTCTGGATGACTATGGACAGCTGCATCTTCCTGAGGTCACCACCCCACCCCACGTCACCCCTGCCTGCCAACCTCCTATTTTATGTGGCTCTAGGGCCACAACAGAATGGGTGCAGACCTGGCTTTGAGCGCTTCCTAGCATTAAATCTCTAGAGGTGACTACAGGCTCAGACTGCACAAGGCACAGGCAGATCCAGACCCTGAGGGGGTTAGGGGTCCGTCCTTGGCCTTATCAAGGTTTCTGCTGGTTTTGCTCATGGTGTCCAGCTGTGGGAAGGATGGTTTGCTTCATTTCAGTCTGGCATGGGATTCCCCGAAATGGTGGCTTGCGGCAAGAGTCCTGCTGGGCTTGAAGGCCCTGGAGACGGACTGCGACACAGCGTCTGTGCTCAAGACGCTTAGAGCGATGTGGGGACAAAGAGCACAAGGTGGCCATCACAGGCCGGCTTGGCCGAGGCCTGAGGAGTGGCGGCTACAGAGAAGAGGCTGGGGAGTTTGACACACTCCCGTGTGCATCCGGAGCAGGGCCAGGCGCGAGCTGAGTTTGTGTTAAAAAAAATGCTTGTAAAAATGGATGACTCAGGTACACGTCATAGATTCCTAAAGAACTTATTAGTCAAATAATGGAATTGTTTTAACTCTAGGATGATAAAGATGCTCCAAATGAGAGCTCCAGGAAGCACTCACAATGGTATTTATTAGGAAGTGAATGGTCATCGAAGAGTTATATTGAAAATTAGAGTCCACGTAGTTGGAAGCTGAGAAAAAATAACCCAGAGAAAGTAGAAGGAGAATAAATATGTCACCGGACCTCGGAGCGAGTGTGAAATTCCTATTCATGTTTGGAAATTCAAATCAGTATTCAGAAGTGGATAAAACAGAAAAACAACCACCTCAGTTCTAGGGTTCTCTGGAGGGACTTGGGGCTTCTCTGTTCATCTGTCCTGTGTCCTGAGAGCAGATCTTGTCTGTGAGGTCTCCTTGCCTGGCTTTGAGCCTCAGGCTTAGTCATCTGTAACTCCTAATATCTACCCTATCAACCGTAGTGATGTCACTAATGACCTTTCCCATTGGCTGAGCTGTCACAGGGCAGAGTGTGGCAGCCGAAGATGATGTAGCATTCCTGAGAAGGGTGACCGCAACTCTGTCATCAGATCCCCAGACACCTGGGAGGCAATGGGGTGAGCTGTGTGATCCCTGTCACTGTCAGGGAAGCAGACTCAGTTTGTCCAAGGTGAGCCAGGGAGCAGGTGCCACAGCAGGCTATTCTTGCCCCTTCCCTGACCCACAAAGGAGCCCTTTCTGTACTTTGTAGAGAAGTCTAGGTATTTTAAGTTTTCATCTTTCTTTTTTTTGGTTTTTTGAGACAGGGTTTCTCTGTGTAGCCCTGGCGCCTGTCCTGAAACTCACTCTGTAGCCCAGGCTGGCCTCGAACTCACAGAGATCCACCTGGCTCTGCCTCCCGAGTGCTTTCATCTTACCCGAGAATCTGACTGTGGGCTCCCGACAGGTGAGAGGGGACAGTAGTCTAGGTTTCTTAGCATAGGGCTTGGAGAAGGTCATGTAGAACATCTGCTTATTCGGGGTGTGCATGCATGTACCGTAGCATTCATGTAGAGGCCAGAGGACGGTTTGCAGGAGTCGGTTCCCTTCTTCTACTGTGTGGGTCCTGGAGATGGAATTCAGGTCATGAGGCTCGACCACACGTCTGTTTGCCCACTGAGCCATTTCACCGGCCCTTGGGGATGGTCCTCAATCCTCACTCGTTGATCTGGCATTTGACTCGGCAGGATCGGGCCTGCTCCATCCAAGTGTCCTCTGGGTTGGGCCACCCTGTGGTCAGTCAGCCAGAAGTACTGGAGCAGGAACCCTCCTGCCACCAGCCGGGGATTCCCCCATTTGTGTCTGCCAAGGCAGCCCACGTGGTACCTGGACATGTGGACACTGGGAACATGGATCCACATTATGATGAGTCTCCCGGTAGCAAGAAAGGGTGGGGACCTTTTGAGTCTAAGTCCCACTGGTTTGAAATTACATTTTGGGACCTGGACGGAACACTTTCCTACAGCTAGAGAGTCCATAACACCCCAAGGTCAGCCTGAGGTGACTATGTGACCAAGAAGAGAGATGAAATGAGATACTCAAGCCAGGCATGGTGACAGGTACCTGTAATTATGGCTCTTTGGGAAGACCGAGTCAGAAGAATCAAGAGTTCAAGGGCATGCTTGGCTATATGAGTTTGAGGCCAGCCTGGGCTACATAAGGTCCTGCCTCCAACACACATAAAACAAAACAAAGCAACCAAAAACCAGCAAACAAAATCAATGACCAGCAACTTTATCCATAGATGAATCGTAATACTTTATTCACCCCTTGCCCGAGTCCGCCAGCCAAGTAGGTGGCTGGAAGGAGTTTTCTAAAACCCTGATAGTTCGCACAGTGCTGATCGTGCAGAAACAGGAAGGGAGGAAATAAGTTAAAAGCCACATAAGTTATGAAAAAATAATATATACTTTCTGTATTTCATGTCCCCACTGAGGTTTGCTCCCTTGGAAACTGGTAAGTAGCCCGAGAGAAAGCAGCAGCGAGCGTCCGCTTTGGGGGCTCAGAGTTGAGTACATCACTGGGTTCCTTGGCCTGGGAGAGCTGCTAACCCATCAGCATTCCCTGCAGGCTTGGCGGGCCAGGGGCCTTGTTGAACACCTTGTCTTGGAGAATGAGATGAAGGGATGGGAGACAGCCAGGAGAGGAGGTGAGACTCGCAGGACACGGGTGTGAGAGGAAGAAGGGAGGAGAGAAGGAGGCTGGCATTGCTGTGCCCTGTAAGCCCCACAGCTGAGAGCCAAGGGTAGGACATGGGAATCTCTGGCCAAGTCCGGATACCCTTGTGGGTGCAGGATGGCTCTCTTGGGTTGAATCCTTTGAACGCCCTTATTGGGGTTTCCTGGACTAATTCAGGGCTAGGAGCCTTCCAGATCTCCCCAGGTTTAGCCTTCCCCATGGCCAACCAGAGGCAGGGGGAGTAAGCTTGGGAGAAGGGATGGGGGTGCGGGGGTGGGGAAGGAAACTAGGCAGAGTTGGCCCACTGGGTGGGATGTGCTGGATCATTGGCCCTGGGGATAGAACAGAGGTCCTAGAAAGTGGGATTTGGGGGAAATGGGCATTTCTGGAAGGGTGGACCCGGGGCTACAGGGCCTGTTGTACCAAAGGCAGAGGTTGAGGTTGGAGAGACCTGGGCTGGAGGCAGAGCCCAGACTGCAGGATGTTGGCACAAGCCAGAACGGCAGGGAGGTGAAGGCAAGGCCTGGTGTCAGGGTGTCCTCTCTGGCTTCTGCTCCTAGGGTGTTGGTTATGGCCAGAGTAGCTTTAGAGCCTACTTATGGCTGGCATCTTAGTCCCCAGAGAGGGTGAGTGCAGGTATCTGGGCCTCTCCGAGACTTAGGCTTCTGTCTAACACATGGGGCCTTTCTTCCCCTTGTCCCCCAATACTGTCAGGCGTCTGGGGAGCCGAAGGGCAGGAAAACCAGGAGTCCTCAGCCCCTAGTCCCCAGGCACTCCCTGTACGGGACAAAACCCAGTGCATCCTTCAGCCCAGGCTGCAGCCCAGCTAGTGGGTGAGGATGGCAGCCTTGGTTCTGAGGCAGCCGCGAGGCAAGGCTGAGGCAGAAGGTCGGGGCAAGCGGTGGGCAAGAGGCAAGCACCTTTTCAGAGCTATATAGGAAGAGGAGTTTCAGAGGATCAAGGAGGTGACTGACCCCAAGTTCCCCTTTACCAGCCAGGACGGCCTGTGGCCAGGAGGTTGGAAGTGGTGAGTGAGCCGCTGATGTGGAGCGGAGCTGGCGATGCCCCTTTGCCTTCACTGACCATCCGGAGAAACGAAGCCTCAGCTGGAACCCACCTCAGTTCAGCACCTCCCCTCCCAGCCTGGAGACTCCAGGCGGCTTTCCCAAGTTCAGCTTAGTCCCTCCGGCAGCAGTGGAAGAGGCTCCTGGGGTGGCTGTCTTACTCGGAAGCCTCCGACTCCTGGGAGTGGTACTTCTCTGACATTTCGGTGATTTTGATCACGGGACCCCTGCGGTTCTTCTTCTTCCGGGAGGGCGTCTTGGAGAGGCCAGACTTGGAGACAGCAGCTACAGGGGGACACAAAGGGTAGGTGAGGAAAGGGGCTGGAGGGTTGGAGGCCACACCCATGATGCCTTTGGGGCCACGGTCCCCCACACCCCGTGTGTCCCCGTCTTGGGTCTCCGGGGACTTACTGGTCCTGCATCGGGATTGTACCGCGCTGACCACGGTGGCAGAGGGCAGGTCCATCCTGAGGGGGGAAGACACAGTAGAATGTGATGGGAACCTAGGATTTTAACCCCATTAGGAGTGTGGGCTGAGCCAAGGGCAGGCCGGTTCCCGGCTGTCATCCCCAGGCCTGCGGTTGTCCTGTTGTGTGACCCTGGCTAGCCCGCTCTCCCTGTCTCTAGAGCCCTGTCTTGTCTCTGGAGTTTCTAGGGCTTAGGGAGCTGAGGCCCCATGGCGGTCCTGCCTTTGGCTCCCCAGGGTGTGGGGGGAGGAGGGGCTTGGTGTTTAAAACCCAAACCTGGACTTCAGATAAGCCAGGGGGCCTGGACTCCCCACCTCCTACCTCCCCGCCCGGGTCGGTTCCATGGGGCCACAGTCCCTTCTCCACTGTGCATAGATAGTGAACCCGACCGAGCACTTACAAACAAACAAACAAACGAACGAACAAACAAACAAACAAACAAACAAACAAACGGATATCCACCTTGAACTTGTAAAAAAAAACAAACTGTGTGTGTGTGTGTGTGTGTGTGCCATTACATGTGTGTGGAAGTCTGAGGACAACTTGTGGGACTTTGTTCTCTCCTTCCAACACGGGGTTTCCAGGGATAGAGCTCAGAGTGGGAGGCGCTGAGCCATCTCACTGGTCCGACGCACATGGCTTTCCCACAAGTGCTTGTCATTAGCCCACTTCCCAGCTGGACTAGCAGGCCGCGCAGAACTAGGTTCCAGCTCCAGCCGGTGACTAGGTCGGGCTGGACGGCAGGCCTGTCAGGTGCCGGGTTACTACCCAGCCCCCGCTCTCACCCCACCCCTCACCGGCTTTCTTCTCCCTCCACCAGCTTGTGGTAGGTGGCGATCTCGATATCTAGAGCCAGCTTGGTGTTCATGAGCTCCTGGTACTCCCGCAGCTGCCTGGCCATGTCCTGCTTGGCCTTCTGCAGGGCGGCCTCCAGCTGGGCCAGCTTGTCCTTGGCGTCCTGGAAGGCCAGCTCGCCCTGCTCCTCGGCCACCTTGATGTTTTCTTCCAGTTTCAGACACTGTAGCCGGGAGGCCAAAGGGAGGGGGGCGGTGGTTAGGAGAGGCGGTGCGCCCAGGCTGAGGTTGCCGCTGCCCGAGTGTGTGTGTAGCTAAGCAACACCATTCCTAGGTGTGGTAAGGGGTTGCAATGTACTAAGAGGGAGCTCGCTTGGACCTGAAGAGTAGGGAAGTCCCACAAGCCACCCAAAGGAGTCGCTGTTGGAAGCTGAGGCTTGACCTCATTCTTCCCTTTCTGTATGATTGATTGGGCTTGGGCAAGGGTGAGGGCCTGGTTGTGCATGGTGGGGATCTTTCTGATAACCCAGCAGCTCTGGGCGTTTTACAGAAGGCATTTCTGTGCAGAACTCACTCGATCCTCACAGCCACCATAGCAGACCATGTTCCTCTCAACTTGGCAGGTTATGAAACCGAGGCTATATTGACCTGCTTGGGACCCCTTGGCCAGGTCTTGTGTGTATTCGGTGATTGGGTGTGAGTGTCTCTATCCCCCAAGTCCCCACGGGCCCTCCGGATGCTTTCTCACATGGCTCTTGATGGAGAGGATCTGAGACCTAAGTTTCTGGATGCGCACGTTGAGGTCTGCGATCTCACAGCGGCTGCTCTGGAGGCAACTCCCGAACTCTGCTGAGCGGGCAGCTCGCTCCTCCAGCTGCAGGGGTGTGGAAGAGGGGTGGCCAGGTGTGGTCTGATGCAGCCCCTCAGCATCCCTCCCAGCCTCATCTCTACAGTCCCTCCCCACCTCCCTCTCCAGCCCCACATGTTCCCCTGGCGTCTTCCTCCTGACTGCCCTGGGTAAGCTATGCCCACACCTGGCTGGCATGATGGCAACACTGTGACCCCCCAGGAGAGCACCATGTACCCCCACCCCCTAATCCCCCCCCCAGAGCCCTATGGGAGCTGGTTCTCACATTTCCCATGCTGCCTGTGGACTGAATGCTGCACCCTCACTGCGGATGCTCCCCACTACTCCTCAGAGAACCTCAGGGCCCAGGGGCACAAGGTCTCAGCCGCTTCCTTTCTAGTCCTTCCTGCCCCATCCTACGGGGTCGGCCCCTAACCTGGCTCCGTGAATAGGCTTCCGCCTCCTCCAGGCTTCGAGCAGCGATAGCATCGTACTGGGCCTTCACCTCCTCCACGATGCCGCTCAGGTCAATGTGGCAGCGGCTGTCCAGGCCCACGGTCACCGACACGTCCTTCACTTGGGCTGTAAGGTCTTTCAGCTCCTGGTCCGCACAGAATTGGGAGGCTCAGGGCTGGTGTGTGTGTGGGGCACTCAAGGTCTCCCAGCCACCCACAGTCCCTTTGTCCCCTCAGGAGGTGGAGCCTATTGCTCCACGCTGTGACTTCCCAGGAAGTCCAGGTGGGGCTTACTGCCCTCTCTGACAGGGGTGGCTCTGGCTTTCATACTCATGCTGGAGCCCCTCTTCCTGGCTGGTGGGGAAGGCCCGTGGCCCTGGCTGGTGTTGAGGTGGAGGAGGGGACAGGGCCCTCCACTGTCTGCTGCTCTCTGCCTCCCCATTGGATGGAGAGCCCCAAGGGCCTGGGAGGGTCACCTTGAGCTGTGGGCCCCCACATCATCTGTGTTTACTGAATAGATGTTGGACCAGAGAGAATGGAGAAGGATGCTAGCCAGCCACGGTGGGGCTAGAGACTGGTGAATCCTTGGGAAATGGATGTAACTGCTATCAGTCACTTGTCCCAAGAACCTGCTGGAATTAGTAAAGCCCTTCCTCACACTCCAGGCCTGACAGGACAGGATCGTGTGCCTGCCACAAGCCCAGGGAGTTTATCTTTCCCTGATCATGGCATGGGGGCGGGGTAGGGGGTGGGAGTGGGGGTGAGGGGGGAGGCAATCGCTGGGGAGCGGTGTTCTGCCTGACCACCTGTGCTCCCTGTCACCCTGGGAGCCCCCAGGATCTGAGCCGTCTAGCTGTCTTTGGAGCACCAGGTCATCGTTTCACTGTCCTAGCCGACTTTCCCGTGGGAAATCATAGGGCTACACAGAGAGACAGGTGGGAACAGGGGTCTCTCAGGGGCTGCAAAGTGTTGCCACAAGCCTGGGCGGCTTCCTCTGGAGGCGCTAAATAACAACCCAGGCTTTGTGGGGCCTGGGGATGGGAGGAGGAGCCAACTGTGAGTGTGACAGACAGAGTGTGGCTGCCCGCACTCCTCACAGAGAAGTGAGTCAGCTGGCCACAGGCAGGCAGGCAGCCAGGCAGAAGTGGCTGTGGCTGTGGCACACTCTGTGGGTGTAGGGTCTGGACCACTGCCTCTGCTGGCATTCACGGACCCCATCTCTCCTTTCGGTCACTACTCTCCTGCCCATGTCTCCCGCTGCTGACAGCCGCGTTCCCTTTTAAAAACTCCAGAGTCCGGATCCTAACAGGAGGAGTGGACGGAGACTGGCAGGGATCACTACAAGTCTTTAGTTGTCCACTCCGTTTTTGTTTTTGTTTTTTTCTTACAGTTTTTCTTATTGAAAATGCAAAGTCTCTCGGGGTCTGAATTTTATCCTGTGCTGATGTGTGACACACCCTTCAGTTTGTCCCTGGCTCCCTGTGAGCTGGCACTTGGATCTAGAGGCCTGCTTAGGGCCTCACTCACCTTGACCTTGGCACACCACATTTGGGACACCCTCCCTCCCCCATTCATCTTTATGCCTAGAGAGGCTGTGGTGCAGCCTCTGGTTTCTGCCCCTGGCAGGGGCTGGAACTTCTTCCCAGTGGCTTGGATCCCAGAGTAAAGATTCAGATGGACTGTATGGACAGTTGGGGGTGCCTTTCCCCTTCGATTGCCTGCAGTCTTGCCCACCAGCACCTTCTAGAAAAGGAAGCTTGAGTGCGGCAAGCATTCTGGAGACCCTCTTGAGCTGGCAGGACCAAGCTCAGGGCCTGGTAGCCGTGGGTATCTTTGATTGCTCTTCAGATGAACTGAATGTGAGTCTCTGGGCAAAGGCAGGCTGAAGCCCTAAATGGAGTCAGGCCAGTGGTCACCACAGACCCGTCATCACATCAGCATCCCCCTCTGTAAACGGGCGCCTGCTAGGACAGCTTCGGAGATGTGATTCTGGGGCTCCCCTGGTGGGCGGGCTGTGGAGATCAGTGAGTAAGGGTCACGGATTTAGTCCCACACCACCCAGCCCAGGCCTGACTTGGCATCTGGTCTAGGAAAGTCCAGGGCATGACCAGGAGATGCTACAAAGGACCGGTCTTCCCCGTTGGGGACAAGGGATAGCCAGCACTGATGCGCCACCTCAGACCCTTTCTGAAAAGAAGCCGGTGAAGGCGGGAGCGAGATAACAGAAACAGGCAGTGGTGTTCAGAACAGCCGCGCGCCTGTCCAGACACGCCGGCCCCTCCGGGAAGGAGGGTAAAACAATGCTCACTTGTGTGGTGAGGTGCCACCTTGGGGTAGGCCCCTGACACCCCAAGTTGGCAAGAATTGCACCATAGTACAGTTTAGAGTTTCCCTAGGGAGCTGGAGTTGGAGGAGACTGCTGTGTGTACATCTGCCTCACAGTGCTCCCCATGGGGGCAGTGAGTAGACCGTGGCTTTCCTGGGGGAGCCGAGTGTTGCTTGGT